GCAAGTTCGACGCAATCAATCGAAGGAAGCACTCCATCGCTGCCAAGAAGAACCCAGTTTTAAACAAAGGGGAAAATCAAATTCGTTTTCCTCTCTTTTGTAATCAAGTTGTAACCGAGATTAAAGGAATCAAAGTCACATTTTCTTTATTCTCTTCTTTACAATTTTTCCAACAAACACAATCATCAGTGAAGTTCAAACAAATTATGCACTCAACGTTTGGATCCTTACAAGCCAAAGATCAAACACACCAATACTATAACAGACTCAGATAAGAACCTAAGAAAAAAAATTTTAAGTTTATATGAAAATATCTGGACTTTTGCAAACCAGCTTTCTTCTGTTCTTATATGATGAAGTCTTTCTTTTTCAGGGTATATTGGGATTGCTGGAGATCCTCATAACTTGCTAGTATGGTTCAAGCCTTTCTACATTAAAAAAACAAAGGAATAAAGTACATAGAACAAATATAAGGCCTGAATGAGATTACCAATAAATTTGAAGTAACCAAACCACAGATAACATGTTTATGGGGCAGGTAACAAACCTTTAGGGAATGTTCCCAAGGTGTTCCACAAGTGTCTAAAATCATAGAGAAAGAAGAAATAAATATATAAGTTAGAAGCATCAACAAGTTGTCCTTCAAAATACACTGGGAGTGACTGAAGCAAAGAAAAGTTGACACACATACCACAGGTGAATACATGCCGATAGCAATGTACTCAAAGACATGGTTGGCAAAAGTAGTGAAATATGCACTTGACATGGTTAGTAACAAACATGCTCACAAGCCATCAAACATGTTCAAAGCTCAATCTGAAACAAAAATGCTCAGTAACAAGCCCACAAGCAACCATTGAAACAAACTGAATCTGAAACAACCAAGCTCACAAACCATCAAAAACATGCTCAGAAACAAGCTATAACTCAAACAACAAAGGCTCAAACAAGCAACCATTAGAAAACTCATAATAGGACCAAGGTAGGGGCTCAGATATAGGTATTAAAATTGAATACATGGATTGTCTCATCTAACAATGATGTTGCAACGGAGGTTGTAATCAAATGAATGGATTGCCTCACCTAGCATTGTAAATACAATGTAGGTTGCATTCTCATCGTAGATTGCCCTACCTAAATAAAGCAAAACATTGTAGATTGCATTCTCATAATATGACCATCATCATTGCCCAAATTGAACAATACAAAATAGCCATACCAATACATATCGTGCAATGTAGGTTGCTATCAAGTATCATATCCATCCATATTTATATAAACCTTCAAAAGAACCCAAGCTCATATTCAGTTTATACAAAATATGACCATCAAGTATCATTTTCTAATGGTTGCTTATGAGCTTGTTTCAGATTCAATTTATTTTAGATTCAGTTTGTTTCAGGCCCCTTTATCAAAAATTAAACAAAACCTATCCACACACAAGCAAGTTGGATCCAAGAGCAACTCAGATTAGACGTAAAACCCACAACAAACCAAGGCTTCCAGCACGCCATATTACCAGCAAGTAACCAGTCTACAAACAAGCTCCTATAATCTTCACAAACGACATGTTTTGGCCAAGACTGCAAGCAAGCAACAACAAGAAACAACCAGTCTACAAACAAACTCATATAACCAAGAGCGCAAGCAAGCAACCACAAACAAGAAAGATTGACCCAAGAACACAAGCAACAACACCCTCATGTAAACTCAGGCCAACTGTAAAAATTGAAACAAAACCTTTCTAGATTCTGATGAAAAAAGGTCAATTGCTGGACATATGAAAAAAGTTCATAACGCTATCGTCATAGCCGCAAATCCATATGTGACCAATCATCATAGCCGCCATCAAAAACATGCTCAGTAACAAGCTCACAAGCAACCATTAGAAAAAAACTGAATCTGAAGTTGTGACTTGAATCTGAAACAACCTGAATATGAAACAAACTGAATCTGACACAAGCTCACAAGCAAATCCATTTAGCACAAACTGAATCTGAAACAAAGAAACCCTGTAACAAGCTCATAAGAAACCATTGAAACAAACTGAATCTGAAACAATTTGTGCCTAGTACATCCTGAGTCTGAAACAAACTGAATCTGAAACAAGCTCACAAGCAAATCATAGAAAACAAACAAGTAACCATGAGCTCACATTATGCTCAATCAGACATAAAATGTTTCAGCAGAAATCAAATGGATATCTAGGGAAAATATAAACCTGTGTACAAAAGTAGACTTGAGAAACCACAAATAAAGGAATTATAACCATGAACTGTCAATAAAACAATTTGATGGGAGAGTTCTCTCTCATTAGCTCAAAAAACACCCCCCAAATGAGTGTTGTTTCAATACCTGAAACATATAGAGTGTTGTTTCAATACCTGAAACATAATTGTGAAACATTGAAACAAACATGCTCAGAAACAATCATTGAAACAAACTCATAATAGGACCAGTATGCAAACAAACATGCTCAGAAACAAGTGTGGTAACAAACATGCTCAGAAACAAATTATTAACAAAGGTTCAGACAAGAAACCAGTATGAAAACTCATAATAGGACCAAGGTAGGGGCTTTGATATAGGTATTAAAATTGAATACATGGATTGCCTCATCTAACAATGATGTTGCAATATAGGTTGCAATCAACTGAATGGATTACCTCACCTAACATTGTAAATATAATGTAGGTTGTAATCACATGAATGGATTGCCTTACCTAACATTGTAAATATAATATAGGTTGCATTATCATCCTAGATTACCCTACCTAAACATAGCAAAACATTATAGATTGCATTCTCTTAATTAAGACCATCATCATTGCCCACTTTGAAAACAACCATGTAGCCATACTAATACATATCGTGTAATGTAGGTTGCTATCAAGCATCATATCTAATCATATTTATATAAAACTGCAAAAGAACCAAAGTTGTAATGAGATTGTAATTAGAGTAGTGAAATATGGAAGATATTGGCAAAAGCAGTGAAATATGCATAAAGTTACACCGCTAAGTGTTCAACTTACATAATTAGCAACATAAAACTACACCACTAAGTGTTCAACTTACAAAATTAGTTACATTATTAAGTTGTTAAATATACAATGAGTTTACAAAAGCAATAGATATGTCAAGTCTTCAAAAGTAGTGCAATGTTAAATATACAATGAGTTTACAAAAGCAATAGATATGTCAAGTCTTCAAAAGTAGTGCAATATCAAGTTTTCATAAGTCAAACCCTTGCTCGTTGATAATCTTCTCTATAAATAGCTTTTGAGAATTTTTGGTTTTGATGATCAACTTCCTTGATTCTGATTCATGATCATACAAGTAATCAAGCACTTTATCCAATAGCCCCTCAGAAAATTCATTCTCATGCGTCATTAGAGCATTCGCCATGGTCTCACTCCAATGCACTACACGTCCATGTTGATTTTGAATTGAGAACGACATCGTGTCAATGAAACTACGCATGAGAGTCTCATCCTCTTTAGCCTTGCTACTCTTCTTCCTAGGAGTTGATGTATCAATTGATGCAGAAGCTATCCCACTAGAAGCCTTCAATTTTTTATCTTGAGAGTTGTGGTTTTGCCCAATTGATTTCTCGAGCTCAAGACGTGGGCTTGAGGATAAATCAACCTCATTATCACTAAGTGTTACATGATCCTCATCTCTATTCGTATCATGTTGTCTAGAGCCAAGCTTTTCAGTCATATCTTTGGTGAAATCACCCTTTGCTTAGTCATCTCCCGTGATATAACACAAGTTCTCATAGTGAATGAGAGGAGTGTTCAAATACTCCTTTAATCTAGAGCTATTGCATTTTTTATCCTATACAATAAAATATTACAAAATTAGATACTCAGAAGTAAATATTCAAACAAGCTTATTTATCAAAATTATTACCTGTGTCCACCTATCAAAACAATCTGGATCCATGGTGACAATCTTAGTTTGTGGATCATAACCAGCCCCACTCATGTTCATGACGGTGCGCATATTAAAATATTTACCCTTCAAGGATTTGACATGGTTCATGACATTCTCCTTTGTGAACTCAGTGCCACACTTCTTGTTGACCTCCTCTGTAGCTCTTCGATATGCAAGCACCTTAAAGTTTTTATCAACTTTGTCAACTTTGAGACCATCCTTTGCCATCTGAGCAAGGAAGGGGATTAACACATCATCATTCTTTGCAGTCCATTTAGCATTAGGCACCCCCTTGTATTCTCTTTCTTGTTCAAGAGTTTTGGTGGCATTTTTCTTTTAGTAACTGGCCGCTTCTTGCTTTTGCTTGGTGAGGTAGCGTCATCCTTAAGGTCAATTGCAATTGACATCTTCAAAGAATGAGTCTCACTTGAATGGGTACTAGGGGAAGTATGGATAAGTGGGTGGCCACTGTTAAGCATATTCACAAACGACATGCGTTGTTGAGTCATAAATGAGTAGTTCATAACATAAGGATTGTAAGATGGATAAGTCGGTGGAGCAATGTATTAGGGCGGAGGGAATAGTTGTTTAGTGGATGGTGGGGGAGCCGGGAAGTATGGATAAGTGGGTGTTGTTGGTGTTCTAGGTGAAGTATTATTGAACTTATCACTTTCATTAGAATCTGCCATGACTGATTGCGACAAATGAAAACAGATAAATAACAAAATTTAAACCTCATGTGAGTATAATAATAGAGTACAAACATAAAAAAGTAGCATTCATAAAGCCCAATCATCATAGCTAAATTCGGAAAACTCAAATAACCTACAAGCATGAAAAACCAGTATGCAAACAAGCCAAGCAACTCATATAATCAAGGTTGCAAACAAGCACAAAATTAACCAGAACCACAAACTGACAAGTTGGATATATGCAAAAATAGCATTCATAATGATAATATACTCATTTATCCATGAGTATTGTTGTAATATCAACGAATACATAGAGGTAGTAGACAATATATCAACGAGTATAATAATACATGGAAAATATAACTTAAATTACATCCTAATCTCGATTGTGTCTCCACCGTGATATTTATCACAATAATCTTCCCACATTTTAATTTCAATTCGATCCCTCTTTGCTCTCCATTCATTTCTTGAATCTTTTTCCTCTCTTTGTGTCATAGTTTGAGTAAAGTCAACAACATCCTCTTCACCCTCATTTGCTATTTCATCTCCATCCTCTTCAATATGGTTGTCCTCATGCAACAACTCATCTCCCGGGTCTTGTATGGCGATGTAGTTATGAAGTATAGTACATGCAATAACTATATCAACTTGAGTTGGAAAATGGTAATCGCGGATAGGATTTTGAAACGATTTTTTAATACCCCAAAAGTTGATTCAATTTTAGACCTTAAGGATGAGTGTCTTAAATTGAACAACTCTTGTCTGTTATTGATTGGCCTACCCTTGTGCTCATTTAGATGATACCGCACTCCTCGATATAAGGAGATAAGCCATGCATAGTAGTGTAGCCCGCATCACACAAATAATATTTTCCTACAATTACCAAAAATAAATTTAGTATATTTTTAATGGTAATTAAGTAGACATACTTTATTTGAATGATTTATTACTGTCGTAAACTCTCAATCCACGAGGTTGTGGTCTAGATAACGCATCTTGCAAAACTCTATAATCATTTGCGGATCACTCCCATCCAGCTAGAACATACAAAAATAACTTGTTGGGAGTGCATGCAGCTAGACCATTTTGAGTTATACCTTTACGACCTCTAAAACGTGCAACAATGCTAGCGGGAAGCATGGCGTCGATATAGGTTCCATATATCATGCTAATACAATCCTATATGATACATTAAATAGTTAATAATAATAGAAAGGTAAACTTGACTGTTATATTATGGGTAGTTATGTTATAATAGTGATTACCTTGAAATAAGGATAGTATAATGGGTTAGTGGAAATCTTTGGTGATACTTCACTTGGTGCTTGCTTCATGTACCGCCCCCTAAAACGACCAATGGCTTCCAAGCACTTGTTAAAGTATTTTGAAACGGTTTCCCCCGATCTTATGAAATGTGACCTAACAATTCTATTTCTTGTTTTATGGCCTAATATATTAAGGAACATGAGCAATTGTTCTTCTACTTTAACAACTCGTGAATCTTTTAGTAGGCCGGTATATCTCATTATTCTAACAAGATTATGAAATGCACGCGGCCTCATTCTAACATAAGCCCTACAACTCTCATCATAGCCATGAAACACACGACTTATGTGCCTAGCTCCAGATTCTATCTTCTCTTTATTTTTTACCTTAGGGTGATAAGTGATTGTTTTGCTTCTACTATGAATCCTCATCAAACAAGCAAACACACAAATCACCGCAGATAGTAGCATTAGAAGCCATCCTCATTAACATCTCTTCATCAATATCGTCCATCTACATTGTTTTAAAAAGAGATTCCACATATAAATACTATGCATCAATCTTAAACAAGTGCTCATATAGTAAATAGAAATCAACAATGTTCAAGGAGTTAAGTGAAATTAACCTTAATAAACACATAAAATAGATGAACCCAATCTTACAAATTCCAAGAAACTAAGAGGAAAATTACGAGTGCAATGTACTAAGATGCCGTTTTTAAAGTTTCTGGAATGAACTATGAAAAACATGTCTATAAACTGACTATATGAAAAACATGTCTGTAATGAATGTCATGAACTATTTTTAAAGTTTCTGGCTCCGCACATTTTCAGACTAAAGCACCAATGAAGATTCATAGTTTAGAAACTATATAACCATAGTTTTATGTACAAGCATAGAAGATGACCAATAAAAACTACAAATGCTCTCAAAACCCATCATGGACACAATCCAAACCCATCAATCCAAATCACCCCAAGATCAAAATTTGAAGACTACCCAACCACCAAAATCATATTTTAACAAAAATAATTTGAGATTAATGAAACAAAAACCTTAACTCTAAATGATCTAAAAGTCAAAAAATCCAAATTCAAGCAATGGAACGAGAACAATTTTGTCCCCAAATCTGCCACAAATTTCACAGACTAATAATTGTGCCAAACCAATTTCACCAAACCTTAAATCAATTTCACATATAATCCACAAATTAATTTCACAGAAACTCCAGAACATTTTCACCAAATGACAAATTTACAAAGAAACCCTAATTTACGAAGAAAGGGAACAAGATTTACCGGCCAAGGAGGAGGCGTAGTTCGGTCGGAGAACAGTTCGGGCTGAGAGAAGTTTGGTTGAAATAATAGAATCCCCAAATCAATTTACCCCCAAAATGTTAGAGAGAGTTGAGGAGAGGCAGGGTGGTGGAGCTGGGAATTGGGGTTGCTGAGGAGGAGGCGGAGCCCGCTAAGGTTGAGGGAGGAGAGGAGAGAGGGGGTGGCGTCGTAGACGGGGAGAGGAGGGAGCAGATATGCTTTTCGCGTTGGAAATAAGGCGGCGGGTAAAAGAGGAGGGAGACGAAAATGGGAGGGGGAAGATGTGAGCGTATCGATGGGTTTTCAGGATCGCGAGATGAGGAGGACTCATTTTGTCAGAGATCCACCCCAAATCCTCTCTCAGATGTAGGATTTGGCAAATGCTAAAATTTGTCAGTTTTTAGCACTTTAAGAATTTCATATCCCAAATTTTTTTTTTTAAAACAAACATGCATGGTTTATGGAATTCTAAAACCCAAAAAAAACCCTTTTTTACATCCAAAAACTTCAAATCCACCCTATATCCCCAAAAAATGAAACAAACACCCCCTTAACATATTTGTATATGTTTAAATATTAATCACGAGGAGACCGATATATCTATACCTCTCAGATGTAGGATTTGACAAATGCTAAAATTTTTCAGTTTTTAGCACTTTAAAAATTTCATATCCCAAATCATTTTTTGAAACAAACATGGTTTATGGAATTCTAAAACCCAAAAAACTCCTTTTTACATCCAGAAACTTCAAATCCACCCTATATCCCCAAAAAATGAAACAAACACCCCCTTAACATATTTGTATATGTTTAAATATTAATCACGAGGAGACCGATATATCTCAGTAAGCAAAAGTCATATTCTTTTGGATTCGGATCCTCTCCGCTACAAAAAAAATAGTGGATGGATCACTACATAATCACAGTCATTGATTATCTAGTTGATGGTTGTGATTTTTTCTTTTAGTGCAAATTAGGAATGAGTGAATACACGGGGTATAAGAAATGTTAGATTTAGATTGTATAATTTTAGATTTAGATTGTATCATAATCGCCTACTAAATAATCAACGCTTGAGATTAAAAGTAGTGGTCTCTCCACTACTTTTTTGTAGTGGAGAGGATCCAAATCCTATTCTTCTCCTAAAATTTCAAATAGGGATACCAATTAGATAACCACATATGGACATGAAACAAACAAAAGGAAAACAACACTGAAAAATATATAACTCAAATAACACAAGAATGTTTAAATGCAAAAGCACATGCAACCGATATTAAAACTTAGTTATTTTAATTTCTATAAGAAGTCATTTTTATACCCTAAAGCATCATAGATATTTATAGGACTTTTTTTATGATACTTATTCATTTAATATGCGATATTTTATCTTAATTTATTTGAAATTGGTTATGCCATATTTCTGTTGGAATTAATACATTGAAATTTTAATTGTTATTTTTATTTTATTTATTTACATGGAAAACAAATTTCTCTTCATAACTTTTTATAATATACAATGCTATAGATATTGAATTAGTAAGCTGTTAATATGCTTTAGAAAGTTCTAGAAATAGAGAAAGAAAAGAAAAAATATCATGTGAAATGGGCAGATTGTCCTCATGTATTTAGTGAGACAAAGGACAATTTTCTCATGTCTTTCAAACTTTTCTTGGATTCAGATCTTCTCCAATTAGGTGGTAATTGGAGGGAGTCCAATTCTTTCGATCCTTACTATCTCAATTCCAATTTATGGGATCATTCCACCTAAGATTTTTACCATTACAAATAGAAGTTTTGATTATAGCGATTTTCAAGTTTACTACTGGTTTTTAAGATAACAATAAAAAGCTAACGTGGCAATGATCTCATCCATTAAAATTGAGATAGATGGTAAGGATCGAAAGAATTGGACTCATTCCAATTACCGCCTAATTAGAGAGGATTCGGATCCAATTTTCCTACACTCACTAAGTTTCTATTGTAAGACATGCATATATTCAGACGTAGGTATGGATACTCACTACAATATTAGTATCTGTATCCTACATGATACGGACATTATGCTTTATATCCATATATCCATGGATGTCTGTAACCATTTTGCGTCCCTAGTCGTCCTTTTCCCCATATTTTTTCCACCAGTAATATTTATTTATCAAGGTCTACAACAAGGGAAGCCTATACTTAGGCGAGAGGGCCCACGCATTCTTCAGGCGTGCATAACGTCGCATCTTGAACCTGGACTCTGATTCCACTACAACGGTTCTCGATGGATTGAACCCGCCACCGGATTCTTTTGATCCAATAAGGATAAAAAATGTCACATCACCATTTTGTGAATGCCTCTACAGGGGTCTCATCTCTTGAAAAAGTTTCTCAAGACTTTTTAGATAACTAATAATATTCAATAGAACTGTCCTTCTCTCACTTTCAAAATCAAAGATTGTTTGCCGCTAAAAACGGGTGGGAGATAATCTAGTGTCGTAGCCACCCATGCATTGCTCACCAGCTGTATCAAATCAATCTTTTATGATTTTCCTTAATCTTACATAAACAACGAAAACATCATCCGGCAACAATGTTCAATTTGTTGCATCGGTTAGAATTGCAACTACAACTACATACAAATAGAACATTTTAGAACGATTACAATTGCTTACTTTTTTTTTTGTCAATGAAATGAATTTTATTCATCACCAAATATGCGATAGAGTCATACAACATGTTTTCCAGCACAACAAAACTAGAAAAAAAAAACCTCTAAACAACTACACTATACAGTTTTCAAACTATAACTTCACCAGTTTTTCTATCAAATGTGAAGGTGTACTATCATTCAGAATCTTCGTAAAAATGGAAAGTTTTACAGCTCAGAAGAGAGAAGCCTGGGTTGAAGCTCTTCTTTGAAAGATACGCAAGTTCCTCTGTCTCCAAATCATATATACAGTTGAAGACAAGGCCAATCTCTTAATCTTTTTCAAACAACCTTTACCTTTAAGGTTACCACAATACCAGTCTAGAACATGATCCCAATTGCACGATCTCCTTGTAAAATCCAGCCACTCCATTACCTCATTCCATATATAGGCAGAGAACTGGCACTCGAAGAAAAAGTGTTGACAGGTTTCAGTGTGTGTTTGGCATAGAACACATAGGTTAGTACAATTGCTTACTTCACTGTAATTGACAGAAACAGTCGTATTGAAATTGCAAAAACTATCGAGCCAAACATTTGTATTCAAGTTAAAATGTAGTCGGAACAACACAGGCTCCAACTACACCCAACCAAACACAACCTAAATCAAGTAAATGACGGCTACAACTACACGCGGCAACAGCTACACAACAACTAATGCAACGAACCCTTACATTCACTGATGCTGCACCTGCAGTTCCCACGCGTTTGCGGTCCCATGCCTCTTATGGTGCCACGCAGCTTGACATGATTGTAGGATGCCTACAAGTGATCAGCCGAGCAAAAAAAGGTGATGACTAACAGGTACATGAGAGGATGAAGTAAGTAAAACGAAGCTTCAAAAGTTATTTCAAGGAGATTTGGTGGCCACAGGCAATTCAGTCATTTTCGTGGGTGTTCATAGAAAAAGCCATAAGCAAGCTGTTTATTGCGCGTTTGTGAGCGAGAGAGTGAACGAGTGGTGGTTGTCAGGTACGAGTGTCGATAATAGGAACAAATACTAAGAGCCCAAAAAGATTACAGATGCCGACTGATCTTTGACGGACCAGTCTTCGAAATATCCAGGATAGCACCACATAGCCAGAGTACTCCTGCAGGATTATGCTCAGCATCTAACAAACAATTATTTCATAGCACTCATTCAACTTCTCTATCTCAATGTAGGGGAATTAGGAATAGGAAAGTTTTCACAGAACCACCACGAATTGTGGGGGGTTTAATTTGCACAAAACTACCACAAACTTTTTCTTAGAAGGCTAGCTACCATAAAAATTTAATCTGAAGGAAATTACCTTCACCTCCTAAGTGCAAATTTTATACTATTAGGGGGGTAACAAATTTTATACTATTAGGGGGTGAACCAAGGGGAACTAGGGTGAATTAGCTTCACCTCCTAAGTGTTCCCAAACAAGGTGAATGGAGGTGAATGGTTCCCCTAACTTCCCTTCACCCTCATTCCTCTCAATCCAAACAAGCCCTTAACTTCCCTTCACCCCCTACAAATCCAAACAGGCCCTAAAGGTGGTGTCTATAAATTGTACTGAGCGAGGAAAGAGCCAATATAAACAAGCCAGGGGGAGCTTAAAGCTAAGGGATATACAGACAATCTAGGTAACAGATGGCTTGTTGAGTCCAAAACAAACCAAACCGACCCCAAACATTGGTCCCATAAAATGTGCAGAAACTAAGATGAGGTAACAAACCGCCAGAGTATATTTCTCATGTTTGTTTGATGAGAGAACGTGATCTCTTTACCGAAATCTTTAACAAAAAAAGAGCTATTCAATCACACGAGAACCATTAATTCAAGCAAAGCTAAAGCATATCACACTAGCCCTGTACGTAGTATTTATAAAGTTGGTCCATGACAATGATTAAAGTATGAGATGACAATATTAAAATGGAACAGGAGACCCCTTGAGAACAAACTTACAAGTGCAAACCCTCTTCATGATCTACAGTCATCAAACTTTGGAGCTAGCACCACCGCTTGGTTCTGATGGCAATATTAGTCTTTTTGCCTTCTAATTAACCTTTCGTCTTATCTCCACCTACCGTACTTCTCTTCCTCTCTCTTTTCATGTATATTTCATATATATTTTTCTAGTTAATAAATGATGGAATTTGAAGAACACAACCATCTACACAAATGAAACTTTTATTGATAGAATACTAGGGAGTACAATACTTGCTCTTACAAGAGCACCTCACTTTCACACAACTTTTTATTTTGGTGAACACTCCCACAAGCCTACACTACACACTCAAGCTTTCAAGCTTACTTCTTGCTTGCTTGCACAAATAAGAGCCCAAGACCCCTATTTATAGTTGTTTAAGAGGGCTAGGAAATGTGTAGAAGAGTTAATCCTAGCCATACATTAGTAAGAAGTTTCTAGAAGAATAAATACTAGCCATACACTTGTATCTTCCTAGAAACTTCTTGGTAGATATTTTGTAGGATGTTACTAGAAAGAAGTTCTAGAAAGTTGTTCTAGAATAATCAAAGTTGGTGAGGAATTCTAATACTCCCCCTCATCACCAACTTTTATTTCTCACAAGTCCAAGCTTCTTCTTAAGCTTCAAAAATGTTTCTGTCTTTAGTGGCTTGGTGAAGATGTCAGCGATTTGGTCTTCAGACTTGCAATATGTCAGCATCACGGTCTTCCTTTTAACTTGATGTCGGATGAAATGATATCTTGTCTCTATGTGTTTGCTTCGTCCATGTGCTACCGGATTTTTGGCAAGTGCGATAGCTGACTTGTTGTCGATGAGAATCTCTGTCGGTGCTTTTTGTTGGTGTTGCAACTCCTTCATTAGATTTCTAAGCCATATCGCTTGACATGCACCTGCAGATGCAGCAATGTATTCCGCTTCGCAACTTGATAGAGCAACAACTGACTGCTTCTTTGATGACCAAGAAAAGGCTGCTGATCCAATACTGAACATGTAGCCGGATGTACTTTTTCTTTCATCCAAGTCTCCCACATAGTCACTGTCGGTGTAACCGACTAGTCTTGGATCTACACTTTGTGAGTAAAATAATCCTTTATTAATGCTTCCTTGAACATACCTAAGAATCCTCTTGGACACCTTGAAGTGTTCTTGCCTTGGCTCCTCCATGAATCTGCTCACCAGTCCAACCGCAAACATTATGTCGGGTCTTGTGATGGTCAGGTACCGTAGGCTTCCGACTAAGCTCTTATACAAAGTTGGATCAATAGAGATAGTTGGATCAATATAGCTTCCTGGTGTGTCTCGCCTCAGCTTCACTCCGACTTCTGCAGGAGTTGCGACTGGATTGCAGTTGCTCATGTTGAACTTCTGAAGGATATCCTTTGCATACTTCTTCTGAGAGATGAAGATTCCTTTCTCTGATTGCGACACTTCTACTCCAAGAAAGTATGACATTTCTCCAATGTCAGTCATCTCGAACTCCTTGATCATATTCTTTTTGAACTCCTCGAACATTTTCGGATTGTTGCCGGTGAAGATCATGTCGTCCACGTAGAGACATACGATCATAATGTCTCCATCCTTCTTCTTGGTATAGAGAGAGTGCTCATACGGACTCTGCTGGAATCCGTTCTTCTGGAAGTATGCATCGATTCTAGCATTCCACGCTCTGGGTGCTTGCTTCAGTCCATACAATGCCTTCTTCAGCTTGTAGACCTTGTCTTCTTAATTTTTCATCACATACCCAGGTGGTTGCTTGATGTAGACTTCTTCTTCTAGATAGCCATTAAGAAAGGCTGACTTCGCGTCCATCTGATAGATCTTCCACCGGTTTTGTGCTGCCAATGCGATAATGAGTCGAATGGTGTCGATCCTCGTGACTGGTGCGGACACTTCTTCATAGTCAACTCCTTCTCGCTGACTATAGCCCTTTGCAACAAGCCTGGCCTTGTACTTCTCGATTCCGCCGTCTTGATTTGTCTTTGACCCACTTTACTCCAATGGGTTTATGGCCTTCAGGTAAGGTAGTGAGCTCACATGTGTCATTTCTCTTGATTGCCTCAATCTCATCATCCGTGGCTTTTCTCCACTTGTCTTCTTGAGCAGCTTCTTCATAACTGATCGGATCACATTCTGCAAACAAGCAGAATAGTGTGTAGTCATCCATCATCTCGACTGGTTCTGTATCGTCGTACAGATCTCTTAGACTTCTCGTCCTCCTTGTTGCTCCCCCTGAAGAGCTTCCTTCACTTGAGCTGGATGGTGATGATGTCGGCGTCGATGTTGAGGTTGATGGAGCTGGACTATTTGGTGGACTTTGTTCTGGTCTTCCAACCTCCTGCAAGTCATCATCATTATCTTCAAAGAACATACCTTTAATATTTTTATCTTCATCGGTCCATTTCCAATAATCTTCTTCATCGAACTCCACGTCTCTTGAAATGATCATCTTCTTTGTAACTGGATTGTAGAGCTTGTATGCTTTTGTCCTCCTCTCGTACGTACCCAATGAATATGCACTTTTCTCCTCGATCGTCCAACTTCTTTCTTTTCTACTCCGGGATGTGTGCATATGCAATACACCCAAACACCTTCAGGTGGTTGACACTTGGATTGATGTTGCTCCACATCTCCAATGGTGTCTTGAACTTGACGCTCTTTGTCAGATATCTGTTGAGGAGGTAAACTGTACAGTCCACGGCTTTAGCCCAGTAAGTCTTTGGCAGATACTTGCTCTTCAACATGCTTCTGACCATGTCAAGAATGGTACGATTCTTCCGCTCTGCTATGCCATTCTGCTGTGGTGTGTAGGCGACAGTGAGTTGATGAATTATCCCGTACTGCTTGTTGAAATTGTTGAATGCCTTCGAAGTGTATTCTCCACCTCGATCTGATCGGAGCACTTTGATGTGGTACCCACTTTGCTTTTCTACCATCTCCTTGAATTCTTTGAATTTCTCCAGAGCTTCGGATTTCTCCTTCAGGAAATAAACCCAAGTTTTTCTGCTATAATCATCAATAAATGTGAGAAAGTACCTATTTCCTCCAAGAGAGACGACTTCAAATGGTCCTGCAATATCTGTGTGGACCAATTGTAGCAGCTCTGTTGCTCTTCTTGACTTTCTAACTTCAAAACTTCTTCTATGTTGCTTGCCCTTCATACAACCTTCACATAGCTGGTTCGGATGATTGATTTGCGGCAATCCTTTCACCATTTTCTCCTTCCACAGAAGATTTAGGTCACTGAATGCGAGATGCTCGAATCTCAAATGCCAGAGCCAAGACTCATCCTTCATAATCATCTTTAAGCACTTGACAGTGTCAGTATGAATATTTAAGGTAAATAGTCTATTTCGAGACATGTTCACCTTTGCAATTACTTCATTTTTATTCTTGATAGTGAGGGCAAGGTATTTTAGATGTATATCATAGCCTCTTTCAAGGAGCTGGCCTAGACTCAAAATATTATTTTCATAGTGCTGGAACATAATAGATGTCAGAGATGTACCTATTCTCGCCCGTCTTTGTTTGGATCATTATCTTGCCCTTGCCTTTCACTGGAATCTTTGACGATCTCCAAAGGTGACATCTCCTTGTACTGTCTCGTTCAGCTCGGTGAAAAACTCCTTGATGCCGCACATGTGGTTACTAGCACCTGAATCCAGATACCAGATATCTTTATTCTTGTTTTCACTTTCCTGGTACGTCAGCAAGACTGTTGAAGTGTCTGACTGCTCCCTTTCTACAAAGTTACTTCTTTCTGCCACTTGATTTGATGTCTCCCAACATTCATTGCTGAGATGGCCGTATCTCTTACATTTGTAACACTGTGGCTGAGATCTATCCTCCTGGTAACTTCTTCCTTGTCCTCTTCCTCGTGTGCCATGACCTTGTCCTCGATCGAATGATCGTTCACGATCTCTATTTTGATCTTGATTTTCATGGCCTCCTTGGTACCGTCTCCTATGACCTTGCTGGAACTTTGAGCCACCTCGAAAGGAGCCTCCGCCTCTGTAGCCTCCACGTCCTCTTTGACTATCTTCTTTGATAGTCATCTTACTCTGCAAGGCTTGCTCTAGATTCTCCGCTTGATTTGAACTGATATTTATATCTTGTTCATAAGCTTGCAGAGAACCTTGCAGCTCATCAATAGAAAATTTGGAGAGATCTTTAGACTCTTGTATTGTCGGAATAATATATTTGAATTTAGAGTCTAAAGTCCTAAGTATCTTCTCCATAATTCTTACATTATTAATTGCTTCTCTATTTCTCTTCATTTGATTAGTTATTGTCTGAACTCTACTAAAATAGTCAGATATTGATTCTGTAGCTTTCATCTTCAAATTTTCAAATTCAACTCTTAATGCGTGGAGGCGTACCTTTTTGGCTCTTTCCGCACCTTGATAGGATTTTTGTAAAATCTCTCATGCTTCTTTAGAGGACAGAGCGTTGGAAATCTTCTCAAACGTAGATTCATCTATGCCTTGGAATATTAGGAACAAAGCTTTTTTGTCTCTTTTTCTGACCTCCTTCAGCTCATTCTTCTGTGTGGCAGTGAGAGTTACTTCTGCTGCAGGTGACTCTGCTTCAGTGTAGCCATTCTCCACGAGCTCCCACAAGTCTTGCGAGCCGAGCAAGACTTTCATCTGGATACTCCAGTTGTCGTAATTGGTCTTCATCAGCTTAGGAATCTGTGGCTGGATCATGTTCGCCATCTCGTACACGAGCACCTTCGATTGGCCCGGCTAGATCAAACCTTGCTCTGATACCACTTTGATGGAATTTGAAGAACACAACCATCTAGACAAAGAAAACTTTTATTGATAGAACACTAGAGAGTACAATATTTGCTCTTACAAGAGCACTTTCATATAATTTTTTATTTGGTGAACACTCACACAAGCCTACACTACACACTCAAGCTTTCAAGCTTACTTCTTGCTTGCTTACACAAATAAGAGCCCAAGACCCCTATTTATAGTTGTTTAAGAGGGCTAGAAAATATGTAGAAGAGTTAATCCTAGCCATACATTAGTAAGAAGTTTCTAGAAGAATAAATACTAGCCATACACTTGTATCTTCCTAGAAACTTCTTGGTAGATATTTTGTAGGATGTTACTAGAAGGAAGTTCTAGAAAGTTATTCTAGAATAATCTAAGTTGGTGAGGAATTCTAATAATAAATTCCTGACCATCTTGTTCGGGTTACTCAGAAAATGAAAAAAAAAGGAACAATAGGGATTCTTGATAGCTGATGATCGACAAGAAGCATGATGAATATCCTCAGCAGATAAAGTATGCATGGTTCCTCTCAGGGCCCGTTTGTTTCATTTTTTTTGAAGGAGAAAGTTAGAGGAAAGCTGTCAAATCTGACAAAAACTGTCAGTTTTGACAGGCTTTCTTGCAAAAACGCCTCTTTTAGAGGCGTTTTTGCAAGAAAGCCTGTCAAAACTGATAGTTTTTATCAGATTTGACAGGCTTTCCCCTTCCCATTTTTGCAAACAAACAGCCCCTCACCGTCGAATGCGTCCAGCAGTTGATGGGTAGAGAAAGCAATTGCCAGTAATTAATTATCAAGGAACTGACCAACGAAAAATCTGAAAAGGCAGCAAATTAATACGCCGCGCGCCTAATGCGTATTATGCTTTCTTATATTCTACTCGTAGGATTTCAGATGTTGTTCGTTGATCAATGGAAATATATTAAATTGCGTCAAAAAGGAATTCACCAAAAGCATGCCCTCTGTTGATCAATCATCACAGCGCTTGGTAGAGTAAGCACCGACCGAATGTTTTGTTTTTGTTTAATTAGAGAGAGAGAAAAAGCAGGTCATCTTTGCGGCAGATCACTCTAAAACAACGCTACAAGGCCTGAAAGTGGGCTATGATGCGGGCTACCGAGTCCTTTAGGCTAATTTTTTTATCCATATTATTGGGGTTTGGTGAGATTCCTTTCCGCAAATGGCAAGCTGCCAAGCAATAAAAAGGAAAAAAAAATAAAATAACCTGAGAAGAATTAACCTGATCGATGTTTTTCGCGCAAGCACAGTAATCTGTCCACGCACTAGACAGGATACGGAGATGTGGGCCTGTACTTCTCCAGAAAAAGATACGTGCACGGGGGGGACCTCTGGTCACTAATAGCTAGTGATCCCGGCCTGAGATCCTCGAATTCACGACGCGTACACGTGTTATACGTACTGAAAAAGGACAGCTGAAACCTCACCAGAGTCAGGACCATTAATTAAAAATGGGCGAGCCTGATACGTGCGTGCTGGGATCACTTTCTCCTTGCTTCTTTCAGCTGAGTGGCTACTCGTTACGGATCATGATGCTAAAAAAGATGAGGGAGGGAAAAAAAATTTAAGAGCGGAACGCCAGTGCGAGAAACGAGATGTAAAGGTCTCCCCGCATTCAAGTAGCTTATCAAAGATACGATCCTTTTGCTATGAAAAGTACATAATTGAAATTGGGGGTAGTATAAATTGTGTCGACCGTCACCTTCATCGGATAGGGGTGAGCAAACGACCGGCTGTGTCATCTTTTTCGGTTCGAATCTGACTGAAGCGTTCAATGTTCAGAACCGAAGTACTGAAGCAAACCGAATTAGCTAGCCCCGTTTGGGCTTGAACCCACTTAGTTAAGAAACTGGGCTGTTTGGGCCAATGAAGGACATGGATCAAGGAATTCAGTAATAAACATTTCTACTTATTGGTACTATTTGTTTGTTACATGCTATCAGAGCCTTGGTTGCTCACTACGTGTTCTTAAATTACTCAGTGAATTTGTTGGGCTGTGTGCAGCATTTTTTTTTGGTTTTCTCAAATTTCAAGATGAACGGAGGTGGTGGTATTTCTCAAATGACTATTGAGAAGCTTGTTGGCACAAATTATCAATATTGGCGATTGTGCATGGAGGCTTATCATCAAGGACAAGATCTGTGGGAACTTGTTACAGGCGATGATACACTCCCTGATGATACTCTGCAGCTTGCCGATGCAAGACGAAAATGGAAGATAAAGTGTGGGAAGACTTTGTTTGCTCTCAGAACTTCAATTAGCAAGGAGTACATTGATCATGTTCGTGAGATGGAATCGCCAAAAGAAATTTGGGATACTCTTGAAAGATTATTCACCCAGAAAAATACGATGCGACTGCAATACCTTGAAAATGAGCTTGCTTCTTTAACTCAAGGTAATATGTCCATTTCTGATTATTTTCTCAAAGTCAAAAATGTACGTGTGCAGAAATTTCAGAATTGGACAGTGAAGAACCAATAAGTGATAAAAGGCTACGACGCTATTTGATTCGTGGCCTGAGGAAAGAATTCATGCCATTCATCTCATCTATTCAAGGATGGACGAATCAACCATCTGTTGTGCGCAGCGGAAATTTCGACAGCACTTCGGCAGCACAACAAGAAAGATTAGATCGATAAAAATTTCCGTCTCACCAAGGAAACAAGAATCTGAAGCGGATATCTCAACCAAGTGAGATATCGGCTCTTCCTCTCATCAGTTCTAGGACTGACCTGTCGAGGGATCCTACAAGCTATTACAAATCACGACAAGAACACAACTTTTACGTGGTTCGGCAAATAGCCTACGTCCATGAGGCAAGGAGGGGGAGATCTACTATTAGAGGGAGAGGTACAATTGGGGTTTACAATCACTCAATCTAAACCTTCTCAAAACAAACTCTCAAATCCCTCTTAATCTCTCTCTACAAAGGGACAAAAAACAACTGCAGCCGCCAAGCAAAAATCCTTGCACTGCTCCTTCGCACACAAATCAGCCCCACAAAATTCCGTGCTCCAAGACAAATTTCCTGCAGCCGCAATTCTCCTCTCACGCTCTCAATTTCACACCTAGGGCATAAATTATATGGCTATATATATAGCCTAATGAATTCGTGGGCTTCAATCGGGTGGGCTTCAGCTTCATTCACATCTGTTTTCACTCACGTGGGTGGCCCCCGCAAGAAACACGTTCACAATTCTCCACCTCGGTGAAGTTTCTTCCAAAAAACTGAGCCGACACCAAATCAACCAAAAGTCCCACTTGTTGTGTCCAGTACGAACTCAATCCACAACAAGTCGAGAAACCGAACGAGAGTCCAAACAATCTCACCCCCATCAAAATCTATTAATCCAAACCGGCTGCATCATAAAGACTGCCTACGTATCCTCTTGCCCAAGGAATCAAGCCTCACGTAGTTCATCCAATGGCCTCGAAAGGCCTCAACACCGAAGAATATTCAAAAGTTCCAAACAATGACCAAACTTAATACCTGAAACAACTTTGGTCAACATATCTGTAGGGTTGTCATTCGTGTGGATCTTCTCCAACATGACGTCTCATTCATCCAAAACGTCACGAACAAAATAGAATCTGACATCGATATGCTTCGTGCGTGCATGATAAACCTGGTTCTTCGCCAAATAGATAGCTGACATGCTATCACAATATACCCAAAGGGTCTCCTGTGCAATCCCCAAGTTCTCCAATAATCCCTGCAACCACAAAGCCTCCTTCACAGCTTCAGTCAACGCCATATACTCTGCCTCCGTAGTGGAGAGATCCACTGTAGACTGAAGTGTGCATCTCCAACACACCGGTGCTCCTGCTAGTGTAAACACATATCCGCTAGTAGACCGACGCTTGTCCAAATCCCCCGCATAATCAGAATCCACGTAACCAATACAATCTTGTCCTGTCTTCTCATTCTTCTGAAATACCAAACCAACATCCACGGTACCTTTGATATACCGTAGAATCCACTTCACGGCCTCCCAATGACCCTTCCCGGGGTCGTGCATGTACTTAGATACCATGCTCACGGCCTGTGACTAATCTGGCCTTATACACACCATCGCATACATCAAGCTACCCACAGCATTGGCATATGGAACTTTGGATATGTATTCACGGTCCTCAACTGAAACAGGTGATATCTTAGCTGATAGCTTAAAGTGGGGAGCTAATGGAGTACTTACCGCCTTGGCATTGCCATCATAACTGAATTTCTTCAGTATCTTCTGCAAGTAACTCCTCTGTGTCAACTTCAACCTCCCCTTCACCCTGTCTCTCTCAATCTCCATACCCAATATCTTCTTTACTTCTCCAAGATCCTTCATCTCAAATTTGGATGACAGTTCCTTTTTTAACTTTCTAATAGCTGAAGTATTCCTGGAAGCTATGAGCATATCGTCAACATATAACAGCAAATAGATATACTCAC